TGTATATATGAAAGTATAATATTATTCGCGCACAATGTATGGTCTGACTATTACGAATTCATGTAACCTCAATGTAAGTACAAATTGATTATCATTATGATTATTATATTTCAAATGGAATATCATGTGGCTATTATATATTATATTTTTATATCAATTCCTATTTTTATGATTATTATTAAACTTATTTCTATGTTAATTATTAAAATTAAACTTATAATTAAATCGTTACATCGATGTAGTTATCTAGTAAATTTTATCACTATCTAGTTTCTTGTAATAAATCTATATTCTTTTAATAAATCTTTTCACAGGTGCTTATAACTTGTAAGGAAACAAGAAAGAAAAAATTAAATGAAATATATTATTGATGAATTATGTAAAGGCATACCATTTGTTTTATTTAACTGTCTTCTCAGAAATATACATTAAACAGAAAAACAGAGATGATGAGTAGAAGATTGAGTAAGTTTTGCAACATTTTATATACTATTATATATAATAGTTTTAGAAAATTTAATTTTATTCATATGAAAACTTAAATATCGAACTACAATTCCAATGAATTTGCCAATTCATGTGATAATAGTATAGAGTAAAATGATAAATCAACGTAGTAATGCCAGTATATTAAACTTCAGTTGTAGTTACATAAAACGCCAAATATTTTTTAATGAATTGAGTCAAAAAAATGATGAGAAATGCTTATAGTTTATTTAAGAAACACAATTTTGTTCAAAAGTACATTTTGCTCACAATAATCTAAGAAAATACCACATAAACCTATTAGAATTTCATGTGAATGTAATTGAATCAAATAATATGAATGATTTCACTGTAAGTCATTCTATAGATAAATTCTTTATTGAATCAGATTTATACTTACAATTCTTTTTATAATGAAAAATGAATTCTTTGTCCTATCAAAACTACTTTGAAGCAAAAGAATTACTGAGTTTTAATTGATTGTCAATGAATTGATAATTATTGATGTGCTTCGAATAATATACATACTATAGTATATAGTAATAGTTTCTACTATTACAATGCTTTCAGAATGAATTGAGTTTAAAAATAATAAGAACTTTATATAGTGCATATAATATGTATGTTTCACATACAAGTATTTAATTAATAACAATAATTTCACTGAATTTCTATTTTATAGTGTTATGGATTTTTTCAATGTTACAAGTTATACATACTTTGGAAAATAATAATTGTTCGGGATGGTAAAGGATGGTAACAGTTGGTGTTTGGCAGTCGATGCGAATGCATCTGGATCAAGAATATTGTTAACGTATTTGTTGAAGTTGTATAAATCCAATTTCGCATTAATTTTAGTGCCAGTTATAGAAAAATGAGAATAAGGATACGTATATTGAATATAAACAAAACATAATGTAAGTCTATAGATTCTTTTTTCGTGAAATGAATTTTTATATTATGGATAATTCTTTAGGAAAATTACTGTTCCAAAGGAGCACTAATGCAGTACAGGATTTTAGTTGTTAAAGAAGGAATAACATATATTTATTGAAAACATTATTGATGTGTTTGATCACCTGAAGGAAATCTTGAATGAACATAATCTGAGTTTCAAAAATGATTTTAACATAAATCGGTTAAATTAAGAGATGAACCTATCCTAAGTTTTAAACATGTTCTATTGAAAGAGAATGAAATGATCTGATTATCAAAAGTATCCGGTAAGTACAAATTGATATTCATGTAGTTATTATATTATATTTCTAATATCTCAGTTTAATCATTTAGTAAAAATTAACACTATTTAGTGTAGCAAATGATTACATACTATTATTTAAAATGCTTTTTCTTGAGATAAATCTATATTCTCTAGGTGCTCATGACTTGTAAGAAAACCAGAAACATGAAAAAATATAATCGAAATGTATTATTATGTAGAATTATGTAGATACATGCCATTATGTTCTATTTACCTGCCTTCTCAGAAATATACAATAAACAGAAAAACAGAGATGATGAATAGAAGATCACAGCTTTGTTAAGTTTTGCAACATTTTATGTTGTCCCGTGCTTAAGATTGTGAAGTAATTATTGTTTGTTTAGTACTGTTTTAGTAAGATTTATTTCATTGACATTTGATATCAAACTTAATTATCCAACCGCAATTTCAATGAATTTACTTTGTCCCATAAAAGTTTGGTTCGTAAAAGCATTACTGTGTATTAATGAATTGACAATTCATTGCCCTTCATATTGATGAACTTTGAATAATATTTGTTTTTGCCATTAGAATACTTTTAGAATGAATTGAGTTCTGAAATAATTAGAATTTTATTTAGTATTTATATTATGTTTCACAAAGATTTATATACTTATCAACAATAATTTTACACTAATTTTTATTTTATAGTGTTGTGGACTCTTTTGCTGCTGCAAAATA